CAGACCTACTTGGACCAGTAGAAACCACCTAGCAACCACATGGCAACAGACACTCACAGCATCCTTGCATTACAGTGAGTTTTGCTCAGTCAGTTTATTGTTGCTCGAGCAGCAGCTTGTTTTCACTGTAAACACGTATCAAGCATCTGCTAAACCGATTTTGGCAGGAAATGCGTAATCCAGCGATCGAACACACACACGTACGGATGAAGACCGAATTAAATAGAGGCTGGAGTGTGAGTCTGCTGATCTCAGCTCAGCGTCTCATGCCTTTATTTAGTGTGTAAACACTAAGCTGCTAATACTATTAGCTGAGGATGAGGTTTAGCGTCAGTGAGACGCTGGTCTGGTCTGTGTGTTTATGCATGTAATCGAGCTCAGCTCTTAGGCACTTTGGAAAGATGCTGATTGGCTGTGATTGTGTTGCATCACAATGGTTCAGACACACTGTAAGTGTCGGGAAGAGAGTGAGGCTGGAAAACAGAAATCTAAATGATGACAAACATACATTCATTGATTGATTAATTGATTGATTGTTTTTTTCCATTTAATTACAATTTAATTAATTAAAATACTTTTTTATTTGTAAATTTTTAAATGTGTAAATATTTAATTTTTTTGTTTTCATTTGTAACATTTAAAGTGTTACAAAATGTTACATTTTTAAAATGTTTATTTTAAATTTAGCCTTTTAAAATTGTATTTTATTTTTTCTTATTTTTTAGATATTTTTAGATATTTCAGTGGTTAGATATTAATGCTAATTTTAAAAGAAATTTTACCAAATATTTTTTGCTTAATTTCCCCATTTATTTTTTTTGTTATTCTTGATTCTTGATCATTTTAGGACATTTTACTTAATTTTTAGTGCATCAAAATGTAACTGTTTACTAATTTAATGAAGACTCAAAAAAAACATTTACCTCAAAAAATGTTACATCTGAATGTTTCCTAAATGTTTAAAGCATTCTGTTCTGTTCTGTTCTGTACATATGAATGTTCTCTGAACATTCTGAAATAAGTAGTAAGATTTAAAAACCTTTAGACGAACATCCAACCAATCCATGAAGTATAAATAATGTTTTTGTGCTACCATTATTAAAGTCCAGATAACTTAGAACAAATGTTCTATTAATGTTAGCGGAAGAAGGTTTGTTCAAAGTCAAGCCCAGACAAAGTGAATATACGGCAGAAAGCAATTACACACACACACACACTCCCACAGTAATTTATCTGGTGTCAACATCACACACACACACACACACACACACACACACACACACACACACACAGCAGACTGGGAGTGTTTAAGTTTGATGAGTGTTTATTGTGTTGTGTGATTGTGACACAAAGCCTGTTCATATTCACACAGCATTGTTCTGTGGGGTTACATACGTGATTTCAGGACAGCGTTTGTGAGCTTTTATTCTGTAGATACACACACAGTGAGAGAGAGAGAACGAGAGAGGATATAAATCTACTGACACTATCTCCGGATCATTTTCTAGTGTCGACCTTGGCAAATGTGCAGGCGGCAGGAGAGAGAATAGGACGATTGTGTGTGTGTGTGTGTGTGTGTGTGGCTGGATGATATACGACCAGTCAAGTGGAGTCGATTATAGAATCAAACGTGTGTGTGTGTGTGTGTGTGTGTGTGTGCGTGCACGCACTCGGCTTTTTTTTGGGCCATTTGTTTGTGCTTGTTTTATAGAGCAGTTATATGGGACATCACTAAACATACTGCAGAAACAAAACCATTGACATCACTGCAGAACATGTCCATGTCATATTTCATTTTCAAAATGAAGGATAACTATCGAATCTTAATATAAGTATAAATTATACTTATGCTTAAGTATTATTACGGTATTTTGTACATTAAAATCCAGGTCATATTTCACCCAAAATAAAATTAATAAATAATATTAAAAAATTCTAAATTCTAATTTTATTTCAGCTAATTGCCAAAGCTACATTTCTCAGTTTCATTTAGTTTAGCTTGATGTACTAAAACAATAAAATGACGAAAACACACATTTTTTTTTTTTTTTTTTTTAAACAAAAATATTAAAACTTAAATTAAAATAAAAAAAAAAAAAAATTCTCTCTCTATATATATGTGTGTGTGTGCGTGTGTGTGTGTGTGTGTGTGTGTATATAAATGTATAATATTATCTCGATACTAAAAATAACATTTATATTTTTGTTACATTACATTCATATATTTTACAATATTCTCAATAAATGTATAAATCTGTGTACATTTATGCTAATTTTTATTATTATTATTATAAACCTCAACAATAAAAGCATAATGAGAACATTTAGGTTTAAAATGTGTCCTATCATGTATAAACGTTTGTTAATTTATAAGTTATTTTTTATTTATTTCAGCAGATTTGTTTTTGAATTATTAAAATTATTACAATTAAAGTGTATTAATTTTATTTTCCTATTTTAACAGATTTGGGTTTTTGAGTTTTGAATTGTTATAATTACATTTTTTATTTTAGTGATTAAACATTTTATTTTAGGTTTTATTGAATTTATATATTTATTATTTAAATTTTATTATTATTATTAATTATATTATTTTTTTATTTGATTTATTTTGTAGTTGAGAGTCCAGGACGTCCTGCTGTAGGATTCATCTCTGCTCTGCTCTAAACACTGGGTCACTTTGATGTAGGTCATGCATTTATAACCATGAGATCGCATAAACAGCTGGACTTGTATGTTTAATTTATATCAGCCTGACAGGAAGCACACGGGACAATTACTCCTGATAGCACACAC